CCTGGCTCTTAGGTTGTGCCATGATGTTGAACAGGTTTCAGTGGAGCTTCCAGACTAAGATGAACTAGGAGGAAAGGCCTGCTGATCTACTTCCATAAATTAGCTGCTGAAGACCTTATGGATGACAACAGTCTGATCCCCAGGAGATCACGAGATGGTGCAGGACAGGGCAGCATCTCGTTCCATCGTACATGGGGTCCCCGTGAGTTGGAGGCTGACTCGACAGCAGCTAACAAAAATAACAACCTTATTTTAGACATTTTTCTCAGTCTTTTTTAGTGCAAAATGCCGAGGTCTGGGAAAGGCCTGATTTTTTTGTGTGTGTGCAGGTTCTGCCACTTCCTAACTGGTGACTATACACTAAACACCAACTGTTTTGAGTCTCAATTTCCTGAAGTGTAAGATGAGAGAGCTGGATTAATTAACCTATTAGTCTTTATAATTTTGTGAGTCTGACAGTCTGTCCAGTGGTTTGTATGGCAAATAGCCAGGTATAAATACATTCACCCTCTGGAGTCTTCACACCCCAGTGACGGCTTCATTGGAAGCTTTTATTCTGGTTCAGAACAGAGCTTGTGTTAATCACTCAGGTTTTTGTATTGGAGGTGTAGACTACTTTGATAGTATAATTGTGATTAGCTGAAAAGATTCTTAGTTTAGAGTCATTAGGATACAGAGTCAAGAGCTCCAAAGAAAGGTAATTTAAATGAGATCTTTCTCTTCTTACAGAAGGTGTATTCTATTTTCTGATGCTTGAGATGGTCTAAACGAATGCATTCATTTTATCAGTGGCATGATTTCTTTAGCCAGATACTACTTATCTTACCCTGTTCAAAAATGCTGCCAAGCGGTATTCAGGCAGAAATCTATAGTATGGTTATCATGAAGTGCAGAGGGGTAGGTCTCACACTGAATATAAGAGAGATTCCTCTTTGTGTACAGTCTGTCTAGGCTATCAGTACATCCATATTGGAAGAGGGAGAGGAAATAATTGGTCTCTCTTCTCTACACAAAGTGGATTGACCTGAGAAAATGTTTGGTCTCAGAAGTGGATGTGAGCGTTCTATTGCCAGTCTTCTGTTGTCATCCGTAGAAGCAGGAACTTTTTGCATTTCCATCAGCTTTTTATAGATATGGATTTATAAGTAATTTTCATATTATAGTTGTGATATAATTTTATTAATTTCTGGAATTACTCATTTTGATGTGTCTCAATCTCGAACATTTTTGAATACTCCATCAGAAGGGAGAGTCTTCCCTCTGAAGAACAGAAATACACAAGTACAGGGAGGAAGGAAGGTTGGGCAATCCTACTTCCGTAGTGATACTGCCTCAGAAATCCAAGGAGGGCTAGCTATGAGTCGGGGCCGACTCGACGGCATATAACAACAACAACAACACAGGGACTGTAGGTGTCAAGCAAACTCAGATCTGGTCCTTTTGGTCACAGGGGAAGAACAAGGTGAGGGAAACCTCAGGCACTGTATCCTTTCTCCCTCCTCTGAGTTCTGGAGTGTTCTAGAATTACATGGTGTTTCTGGGTTTGGATCACTTGATTAAAACTGGAAGCATTGTTTAATTCAGAAAACAACTAATTATGGAAAATAACACACTTTGGTTTAAAAATGAATGCTTTATGTTCCTATTTTGCAGGATTTGAGATGTTTTGGTAGGTCCCAGGTGGAGGAGGTGGAAGAGAAGGAGGAGGTGATTTCTTAGTTCAAAGTAAAGGACTTTGATTCTAGTTCTGGCTTGGTGTGTAATGGTGGTGTGTCAGTGGGCAAGTCAGCTAGCCTCACTGTGCCTTGGTCACCTTAGTTCTTGGGAGAGTAAAAGGGAAAATATTTCTATGCCTTGAAAACGTTAAAGGCTGCTGACTTAAAAAACTGTGGGGCATTGCTTGAAATAGATGAGTATCCTACAAGAAGGAGTCAGAGAAGCCCTTAAATAAGTATCTCCAATTAAGATGTTTTCTGTAACGAGGATTGAAAACCATGCTGAAATTTATAACAGACAAATGGGTTCACAGTGAGGGAGCTGGAAATTTGGACCACTGTTTCCTTGGTTTCCGGGGAGTGAAGTGCCAGGATTTAGTATTAGCCACAGGCCCTCAGTTGCCATGACAGTTTAGTCATTCACTTGATTAAAGTCTTCTCTAGCAGCCACTGTTCCTAAAGAGGAGACGGAAACAGCAGCCACTTTTCTTGGCAAGGGCTTGCCTCACACAGATACTGTATCTCTCCCCTGAGTCACCTTGGGGGCCTGGGGAAAGGACCAGCAAAAGTCAGAAACCAGGAGCTCTGTGAGGCCCAGTTTCCCACTCATTGTGAGGCCTGGCTATCACTCGATAGGCCTGGCAGGGAAGTGTGGAGGAAGTGAGTGCCCTGCTGGTTCAGAATGTTCCAGTGTGGTTGGAAAGTTTGAGAAGGGCCTGGGTGAGAAGAACAAGACCTTATTGACAGGGTTCAGTCCTGGGCAGGCCTGTTTCACATCAACTTTCTAAATAATCACAGTCTCTACACCGTCCCCCCTCCCCGCCCCAGCTCTTTCACCTCTGCCTTTAAAATAAAAAACAAAACATTCTATGCAACTAGAACACAAAGCATTTTAACTTTTTATTCCAAAAAAATTAATAAAAAATGAGAAGTACAGGGCTGCTTGCTTCAAAAATGAAAAAATAAGACAAAAAACCTCATAGTTCCAGGGTTTTCTTATTTACAGTATAATAATAATAATAATTATTATTATTATTGCAAATGCTTTTTCTAATGAGCTGTTTTCTCATTCTTTTAATTTATAGGACCACTGATTGTGCTAACATTTCCAATGGTAGTGAGGCTGGCCTGGCTTGTCATTACTTGATTTAGTTTGCGTATTGGGTATGTAAAAACTGTGCAACTATAATAGAGCATAAGACTGTGAGGAAAAGGAGTATGCCAAGCTTTTTCTCTTCTTCTCCACATGAGTCTATAAACCATAATATTTATGTCAAGAAGTCAGAAGAAAATCTGCTGGAAGTTTTAATGGACCACAAAATGTGTCCCTTGCATATCTTACCTTGTCACTCTGTTGGAATTTATGCATGACTTTTACATTAATGTCGTAAACACACACTTGGCAACGGGTCTTTTTCAGGACCCATAGGGCATCTCCAGTTCCAGCTTTTAGCTTTTTAGGCCAAGTAGTGATAGTAATAAGACTTGCTTCATTTTTGTTTTTCCTGGAGTAGTAACTTTTGAAGCGCAAAGGGATATTTATTTTAAGGTTTTCAGACTGAAGAAAACCCAAACATCTCCAATTCCTTTTGAGGGCACATCTCAATGGTTGGAGCCTCTCAATTTTATGTTGAAGTCCAGGTGAGATGGAAGGCCTCTGCCCAGGCTGAGAGCAGAAGTGCAGTGACAGAGTGGATTGTAAAATGCCTAAACCCTTTGCTGTTGAGTCAACTCTGACTCACAGTGACCCTATAGGACAGAGTAGAACTGTCCCATATGTTTTCCGTGGCTGTAAGTTTAATGGAAGCAGACTGCCACATTGTTTTCCCATGGAGTGGCTGGTGGGTTCGAACTGCCAACCTTTCAATTAGCAGTTGAGCATTTAACCACTGTGCAACCAGGCTCCTTTGTAAATTGCCTGCTCAATTATTTTCCTGAAAGGCTGGTAACTCCATAGCACCTTAGAACAGTGAGATCTCACCAAGTTTTGACTTCTTTCTCTATAAGTTCAATTAGTTGAGTTTTATACTTTCTTTCCCTAAGAGTCACATGAGAAATTTCAGTTTACATAAACAGCCCTACCCAGAAATTTTAAAAAGACTTATTAAAAACTGAAGAATCTCTTTGTTTAGTCAGACACCTTTATCTTGATGTAGGCATTAGCTGTATGACTTGAAATTAATATAAATGAAATACCATTTTATAAAAAATAAGCACTCTTCCATTTTTGTAAAGACTGTGTGTATACCCTATTCAGTGATGATGGTACTACTCTTATCATACCCTCCTCCTCAACTCTACACCAGAAACTCAAACCCATTGCCGCTGAATTGATTTTGCCTGATAATGACCCTATGTTACAGAGTAGAACTATGTCTCAAGTGGTTTTCTTGGCTGTGATTCATGAGAGCAGATCACCAGGCCTTCTTTTGTGAACCCACTGGGTGGGTTCAAACTGCTAATCTTTAGGTCAGTAGTGGAGCCAATGCTTTCAGGTTAGAAGCCTGAACCCTGTGTCTCTGGGCATCTTGTCCATTGCTCATCTTCTAGCACCTCGGAGCCCACGTCGTCTTTCTCAGTGATGCTAACATGCCGAGCTCTCTGCCTCCTCTTCACATCCTTTCCTCTCTCTGAGTTCCATGGTTCTCATCTCAGCCCTTCCCAGTGTTTGTTTTCATAAACCTCAGATTAGTAAGATGTCCAGTTTTATGTTTGGTGGCACCAGGCTCTTCTGCTCTGCCACCCTTGCTTGGTGTATATTACACACTTTATTTTCTAGTTATCGTGGAGTCAATTTCAACTTAGTGATGACCCGTATGTGTGAGTAGAGCAGTGCTCCATAGGATTTTGAGTGGCTGATTTTTCTAGATCACTAGGTCTTTCTTCCAAGGTGCCACTGAGTGGACTCCATCCTTTCAGTTGATAGCTGACTGCTTAACTGTTTACACCAGCCAGGGACTCTATAATATACTAGTAATTGGCAAAGCTGAAACCCAAGTTGGTCTGACTCTACAGCCTCATTACCTCCCTGGATTTCAGTTTCTCCCTTTGTAAAGATGGTAATGATAACGCTTTATTGGGCTGCTGTGGAGCACCAGTGTGATAATGTCTGTGAAAATGCCATGTGAACAGTAAACACCATGCAGTGCATAGCAACATTATGTTACTATCATTTTAAGCCTTATCCCCTTTAAATGCTGCTCTCAAAATTCCCAGTCTTTGCTGCCTCTGCTTCTATGCTAGCCATGATGCCTCTGACATTGTTCTTTTTCCCTCTCTTCCCAGGATGGTTCATACTTGGCTGAGTTCCTGCTGGAGAAGGGCTACGAGGTGAGTGACTCAGCGAGCAGGCCTAAGCTGCCAGAATCGAGCGGACACAGCAGCCTCACACTTCCTTTGCTGCTGTCCTCAGTGTGTGTTTTCCACTGAACTCTGATAACAAATCAGAGTCAGGGGAAGAATGTACCGCTTGGCTTGTCATCCTGCCAGCTCATTGTGCTGGTTATCTCCTTGTGAGCTCTGGTGGCTTCCCCTGTTCCCTAGGGGCTAGCTGCTGTGCAGGCTTCCCGCCTTCTCAGATAACGCAGCACCCTGTGTAAGTGAAAGCTGTGCAGTTATTAGGGTTAGTTTAGTGATGTCATGTGTTACATAAAGACACCCCACTCAGTCAAGTCTTAATTCAGAAATGGCACAGAGCAGTAGAAGCGGGGCTGATCCATGGCAAGCTTGAAGGAAAAATTTAAACCTGTAGATATTTGCTTTCTAATAGGCAGCCTTATGCTTTTATACACGTGTGTGTGTGTGTGTGTGTGTGTATACATCTTACATCCCACTAGCCACTCCTTGGAAGGAAGATGGAGCAATCTATTTCCATAGTGATACTGCCTTGGAAACCCAAGGAGGGGTCACTATGAGTCGGGTCTGACTCAATGGCACACAACAACAACAACAACAAACATCTTACATATATATATATATATAATTTGTTTTATTTCTGATGTTGAGAGTATACCCAACAAAGCATAGATCAATTCAACAAATTCAATGTACAATTCAGTGACATTGATCACATTCTTCAACTTGTGCAGCCATTCTCACTCTCCTTTGCTGAGTTGGTCCTCTGTTAACATAAACTCACTGTTCCCTGTTTGCTGTCCAACTTTTTAAGTTGCTGTTGTCAATTTGATCACATATAGATTGTTCTTAAAAGGACATAATGCTCAAGGCAGACACTTTTTACTAGTTAAGCTAAGCTTATTGTTTGGTTTTAAGAAAACTTCAAGGAATATTTTTGGTTTAAAGCTTAAAAATTATTTGAGAGCAATAGTTTCAGGGGTTCATCTACCCTCCATTGCTCCAGAAAGTCTAGATTCCATGAGAATTTGAAATTCCTTTCTGCAGTCTTATCCTTTTGATCAGGATTCTTCTATGGACTCTTTGATCAAAATGTTCAATAATGGTAGCTGGGCACCATCCAGTTCCTCTGGTCTCATGACAAAGGAATCAGTTGTTCTTGCAATTAGCCACACATTTTATATCCTCCTTCTAGTCCTAACTTTCCTTCTTCTTTTGTTGCTCTAGGTGAATAAAGACTAATTATGGTTTAGATGATCACTTGTAAGCTTTTGAGACCCAAGGCACTATGCAACAAACTAGGAAGGAGAACAGAAGCATTAAACATATTATTAGGTCAGTTAACTGGGATGTCCCATGAAACCATGACACTAAACCTCCAAACCAAGGATCCAAATCCCTTGAGGTATTTGGTTGTACATAAGCAGACTCAGCTGTTCTTCTCTTTCTTTTGGTTATTGTTGTAAATATATTTATCACACAGTTTTTGCCAGTTCAGCTTTTTGCAGGTGTGCAATTACATTAATCGGCTGTGCAACCATACCCTTAGTCAGTGTGATTTTTCCATCATTGTTAACTGAAACTCAGTACTGCAAAAACAGTAACTCCTGTTTTCCCCTCTCTTCCACCCCTGGTAACTACTAAGGAACTTTGGTCTCTATGTATTTGCCTGATCTTATCTTTTTATGTAAGTAAGGTCATACAATATTTGTCCTTTTATGATTGACGTATTTTACTCAGCATATTGTCTTCAAGCTCCATCCATATTGTAGCATGTATTAAGACTTCATTTCTCTTACTGGCCAAGTAGTATATTCCATTGTATTTGTGTACCAGATTTTGCTTATCCATTCATCTCTTGATGGGCATTTAGGTTGTTTGTGCCTTTTAGCTATTGTGAATAATGCTGCATTGAACATTGCTGTATAAGCCTCTGCTTTCAGATCTTTTGGGTATATACCTAGGAATGGAAATGCTGGGCTATGATAATTCTATTTTTAGTTTTGGAGGAACTCCCACACTGTTTTTCACAACAGCTATGCCATTTTGTATTCCCACCAGCAGTGGAGAAGGAATTCCATTTTCCCCACATCCTTGTCAACATTTTTTTTTTTTTTTAAGCTAACCTCAAAAACCAAAACCAAACTCACTGCCATTGAGTCAATTCTGACTCATAGCAACCCCCATTGAGTTTGCAAGGCTAGAAAGCTTTACGGAAGCAGACTGCCTCATCTTTTTTCTGCAGAGCAGCTAGTGGGTTTGAACCAACAACCTTTTGGTTCGTAGCCAAATGTCTTAACCACTGCCCCACTAGAGTTCCTCCTCGTGGGAATGAAATAGTATCTCATTGTGGTTTTGATTTGTATCTCTCTGATAACTAATGACACTGACCATCTTTTCATGTGCTTGGTAGCTAATTGAATGTCCTTTTTGATGAATTATCTATTCAAGTCCTTTGCCCATTTTATGGTTAGATTATTTGTCTTTTTTGAAGTTTTATATTTTATAATAATAGCATATCTATTATTAGTTCTTACCAAATATATGGTTTCTGAAGATATTCTCCCAGTTTGGTAGCTTTCTTTTTCACTTTATTGGTAAAGTCTTTTGATAAACAAAAGTTTTTAATTTTTATGAGGTCTCATTTATTTGTTTTGCTTTTTGTTGCTTGTGCTTTTATTATTCAATTAGATAATCCATTGTTAAAAGTTAGGACTGACAGCACTGTCCATGCATTTTCATCTAAGAATTTTATGGTTTTAGTTTTCACATGGTCCTTATGGTCTTTAATCTATTTTTGTGTATGGTGTGAGGCATATATCCTGTTTCATTTTTTTTGCATGTGGAAATCCAATTTTATCATCAGCAATCATATATGTTATGGAAATTCAGACTTCTAGGTTTGCTGTCATCATTATTGTCATCTTCTCCTTCTTCTTCACCTCTTCTTCCTTCTTCTTCCCTGCCTTCTCCTCATTTTCTTTAGTGAAAAACAAATGAAACTTTGCTACTTATCTTAAAAGAAATATGGGTTATGTTTCTCAAATTTGATGTTGTTAAGGTTGTGTTCTGGTTAACTAGTGCCACTCTGACAAAATAGACCACAAATGGGATGGCCTTAACAAACAGGAGTTTATTCTTACAATTTGGAGGCTTTAAGTCCAAGTTCAAAGTGCCAGGGTCTACTACCACCAGCTGCCCAGCCACTCAACCAGGCCCAGCCAAATTGACACACAACATAACCACCACAGGTTGTATAGCATGCCTTTTCTTTTTAAAAGAATGTTTTCCAAATAGATACATATATAATTTTATATATGTATATTATATATACATTTTATGTATGCATAATTTTATACATGTATATTATACATTTTATATATGTATAATTTTATACATGTATATTAATTTATACATGTATAAATTCATGTTATGCAGAGAACAAACAAATTACACAGCATCCCAAATTCTCTGGGAATGTTTATCTTAATAATTTGGATTATCTGTTTATAAATATTCCAATTACAGGTTCACTGTTTTAGAAAATGTGCGTTTGAGGCAAATAGGAAAACAGCAACAAGAAGTTTGCATCTAAACTCCAATAGGATTTGAAGGAAAGGAAATTCATTTTCTTACTGTAGCTCATCATCTTTCTTGAGAACTTTGACTTTTAGACTTTAAAAACTAATGGATATGTTTAGAACCTTGGTATCCTTTTCTGGGAGCTACTTCTGCATCTTGTAAAAATACCAAGAAATAATTAGAAATGTTATTATGAAAGTTACACACACACATATGTTCAAATACCTAGATGCCTGTAATACTTGAGCAATAGAAAGAGTGGGCCATCTGTATTTCGTAGGAAGGTTTAGGTGAAGACTGATATTTATGCAGGCTAGATCATCAACTGAATGTTTTAATAAAAATATAAGAAAACATTTGGCAGAGAGAATTATTGATTGTGCTTCAAATGTTTGAGACTGGCTAAGTACAATTTGGCTAGAGAAGAGTTAGTGATGTGTCTGAGAATAGGGTAAACTAGGAGTAGGAGCCAATTACAGGTGTGAATGAGAAGTGGACTGTTGAAGTGATGTTTGCACTCCTGAAGTGTTACTGAAGCATTACTGGGTTTTGACATCAATTTCCAAGGTATGAGTGGTAGGCTGAGGAAAGAGATAAGGAAGGAGGTCATGTGTATGTCCAATATTGAGGGGAGGAGGACCCACACAGCCCCGTGGGGGCAGGGTTTCTCTGTGAGAGTGTGATGTCACATAGATTGGACTTTGTACTAGTCTGGGTGTGGTAGACATTAGTCATTCTTGGTCTGGAAGGACTGGGAGCAAAAGGGTGTTATGGATGTTCCTTGAAAAGGCTGGGAGGAACATGGACAGATAGGTGAAGCTTCATTCAGTTGTCTCACTAAGGAAATACCTGACTTCAGGAAACAAATAGCAATGTTCTTCAGTGAATGAGGGATTGAGAAATAGATGTAAGGAGAACCTGGACTCCTTCATAAGCTGCAAATGTTTTCATTCCACTGGCATTTAACATTATGAGAGGACATTTGATTTTGATATAGAGGAAAAAGAAGATCTACTTGGCAACTCTAAGATAATGGGAAGAGAACATCATTGACATATTGTCTGTGAAATAAGTTTAGGAGTGAGACTCATAAATGGATAGAAGGACCATTATAGATGATGCAAGTTGAAGGTGTGGTGCTCCAAAGCATAGCAGCAATGATTCCTCACTATGGTGCAGAGGAAATGTGAGCTCTGTGGAGTTGGTAGGGGTAAAAGGGTGTTTATCTCTTTTGTATCCAACATTAACAGGCTGTTGTCTTCAACTGTGAAGAAGTTGAGGTAGTTGAGAATAAGTTATTGAGAGGGATACATGGTAGCATAGATGTTATATTTTTTTATGTAGAACAAAATAAATGTGAGAGTGAGGCTGCATTGGAACGTTCCCAGAATTATCATGGTTGCTTAGACTATGAGCAAAAGGATAGGGGTAATAAATTGCTTAAAGTGGACTGAAAGGGGACAGGTTCAGATGAGCACAGACTTCTAACTCAGTGGTTCTCAGCCTTTGTTTTATGTCAGAATCACCCAAAGTATGGGTAAAGGCAAGGTTACTGATTCATAGATCTATTCCGGGACCAGGGGCTTGGCTGTTCTAGCAAGTTCCCAGTTGTTGCTGATGCTGCTAGCTTGGTAGGACAGTTTGAGAATCACTGCAACAAAAGGTTCCAACAAAATCAGGTGACTGATGTAATTGTAGGTGAAGATGAACAAAATATCTTAAGACATCTTAATTTTGAAGACCTGGCTTCTCTGAGCAATCATATTATTTTGAATCTAGTCTTACCAGCTCAGAAGTGACTGGAAACAACATTATTTTGCACTGTGCAAGGCAAATAAATACTGTGAAGAGACACTAGAAGTACTATAGAAGTACTATGGATACGCTTGATGGGGAGATGGAGTTGTTCTTCCTAGAAAAGAAAGAGGCATACTTGTTGTCTTAGGATTCTCTGGAGAAACAGAACCAATAAGATAAAATATATATGTATGTATACACTCTTGCCTCCAAGAGAAGTGTAGATACTACAGAGTTGAAATTCAATGCTAATAATTTTCTATTCTCTTGATTAGAGTAAATAAGTAATAAAGTTTTTCCCTCTAGTCTGACTCTAGCTTTTGAAGTCAGCCAACTTGGTTCTGACATTAGAGAACTTTTCTTTTCATCCCCTAGTTAATGAAACATGAAATTTGTCAAAACACACACTTCCATGTATTAAGACCTCTGTTTTTCAGAATTCTGTTTTATTTTTGAAGTGCTATAATTTAATAAAGATTTTTATTAAGTTCATATAAAGCCAGATTCCCAACTTCTCATCTCCCTTCCCCCCGAAATCCTTATAAAAACAAACAAAAAACCTTACGTACATCCCTTCTGTGAAGAGAAAGCTGCTAATCTGAAGTTCTTAACTAGATTATCCAGTTTGCACACATTTTGGCTTGTCTTAAAGTTTGTATTTTACCTGTCTCAGGCAGACAGACCTGGCTTTCATTAGTTCTTAGAATAATACTTGCTGTCATGGATTAAGCATTTGGCAGGTTTTTCTTTCCCTTGTATACACATACCAAAAATTGGGAGTGAGGGGAAATTAAAACATATTTTCTGTTTTTGGAATTAAAAAGCAAACAAACAAAAACACTAGTTCTTAATGCTTTTAGTTATCAATATGACAACGAAACCCTATGTAATTGCTGTAACTTTGTGTAGTCTGACTTTGACACTGAATCCATCAAGATCATTTAATAATTTTATCAGAGGCTTTTGTGTTTGTGTGCAATGTATATGTATAGGCATTTCTCTATGTTTTGGGCTGTTGGAATATTTGAGTTATCTAGAATCCAGCAAATAAGTTAGCATAAATCAAATATTACTCTTTTTATTGTTAAAATTGTCTGCTTTTAGAACATAGAACTTCCCTATCCAATGAAATAAAACTTTACTTATATCTGAGAATTCTACATTTCAGAAATAACTTTGGTAGTAAACATCAATTTTGTTATGTATAAGCATATATATGAACTTGCTTTTCTAAAACAAAATTTATTAACTTTGTATAGCAGTTTAACTTTGCCATTAAGTAGCAATTTGAAAATGTGGAGACCATGAAGTAGAATAAATTCTAAGCATAATATAAGTGTTATTTTCTCCACTTCTAAATTAAGAAATAAATATCTATAGCCAAATTCTATTTACTGTTTCCTAGATTTTAATATTTGCCTTCTAAAATGTCAACCAAATCTGAGATATTCCCTTCTTTTCATGTATACCAAGTTTTCTTGTGTTCAGTTCTTTTGGAAAACAGTGTCAATGAGTGCTTTTCTCTTTGGCTACAGCAATTTAACCAACAGAATTATTAATTATAGTTTAAATGTGAGTGTGTTATATCCTTTGCATAAATCAGTTTCTCATATGCTGATGACATTATTTTCTATTTAAAAGAAAATCTTAGTGCTTATAATTTCCCCCTTGCATTTGGAATATTTGAGTCATGCCAAGAATTAATTTTGGTTTGAAATAAATGGAAAATGATTGAGTTAAAATATAGAAGCATATTCAGCTACAAATGAATCTACCCAACATTAGAAGCAACATTCTAAAGTAAGTTAAGGATTAAAGTTGCCATCAATGCAACGGGAACTTAGACATCTGGTGACATAGCCAGTATTAACATTGGCAGTCCTGACACAAGGAGGAAGTGGGACTGGGTCTTGACCAATTTCTCTTATGTATCATACACAGTCTTTTCTTCGATATCTGACAGGTAAGCGTTGTTGTTCCAACTAACTTTTTCTCTCACACTTATCATGGTTAAGTCAAAGATAAAATTTGAAAAAAAAATCCTCTTAATTTAAATTTTCTTAATGTCTTAAGTCTAGTAGTATGTGAATCTTCTCAATAACCTATGCTATTTAGCTTTCTGGCTTTTCCATATCCTACATAATAGCAGCTGCAGATGCAGAAATACCTTGAATAAATTGGAGAGGCAGTAGCTCTATAGATACTGGAAAAGATGTGTTGGCATCAGGGCCTCATGGCCTCATACTACGTGTGAAACAGGCTGCAAGTTTGTTTGTACCGATATGGCCTGTGTGGCCTGTCTACAGTTTCAAATTGAAGAGATATTTTTGTCAGCAGTAGGGCTCTAAGCATATGTGGTTGGAAAAGGAGACATCTGAGTATCTACAGCTCAGCATTCATTCTGAAATAACATAATTTTCTAATTACTTTTGTTGCTATTGCCAGTCAAAACACTGAGGAGAAAGATGGAGGGTTTTGGTGGTAGATGGACAGTGACTGGGGAGACTGGAAATTAAGCAGTGGAATGATTTCTAGTAATTTGAAAATAATGTTCTCCTTAATGAATAAAGGATATGTTTATATTTTTTAATAAGGCTGAACATTAGCAGAAGAGCTCCTTGAGTTGCACACTAATTCTCATCACACACTTACAGTATACTTTTCTCTTTGTACAACATGAATCCTCAGGTCCATGGAATTGTCCGGCGATCCAGTTCATTCAATACAGGTCGAATTGAGCATCTCTATAAGAATCCCCAGGCTCATATTGAAGGAAGTAAGTAATTTTCTTATTCTCAAATCCCTTTCTATAACTTCCTACATTTTGCCAAGGTATTATCAGATGTCATTTTTTTCAGAGCCTATCAAGTCACAATTTTTACCCATGAATTATCTGCATTGATGATTATCTTTAGTCTTTGAAAGCCTTTCATTGCTTGCTGCCCCTAGGCCCAGGTGTCATCTTGGTCAGGACTGATACAAGGATGTTGGTTATGTGATTCCGCTCAGACCAAGAAAAGAAATGCCTTTGATCACTTTTCCCCAGGTGTCCCTCTTCCCTCCAGTAAGATCAGTTTCATATGTGTAGAATACTTACTGGTTTCTTTCATTCAGTCTAATTCAATCATGTTTAGCAATCTTTGTACATTTAATTAATTTTTTTAAATTGTGGAGAGAGGTCAAAAAACATGGCAATCAAAACTGTACTTAAATTTCTTTATAGCTCATTGGCAGTATCTGTAGTTGTTTGTTGCCTTTATATAGCTGTACAGTTTCAGAAGCCCTGGTGGTGCAATGGTTAAGCATTTAGCTGTTAACCAAAAGGTAGGTGGTTCAAACCTACCTACCAAACAACTCCATAGGAGAAAATCTTGGCAGTCTGCTTCCATGAAGATTATAGCCTAGAAAACCCTATGGGGCAGTTCTGCTCTCACATGGAGTCTCTATGAGTTGAAAATTGACTCAGCAGCACCTCACAACAACATAACAAGGTAAACAGATTGCATAGCATGGTCTCAGTTTTTTCTCATTCAATCTTTGATCTTTACAGCAATCACTGGTCTTGTTAGGGAGGCTACTTTATAGATGAGGAAATGGAGGCAGACTTAAAGCAGTCAGGGCTAGAACTAGAATACAGTGTGTTTAGCTCCAAGTTTTGTTTACAGCATTCTAGTTTTTCACCTAGCAAGCATGATACAACTAGCTTGTAAACCATAAGTGATTTTGTGTTCACCTCATTTGAAGATTCGAGTTACCTATACAGGTAGTGATATCATCAGAAAAGTAGTCTAGTTGTGCACAGAAAAAGCTTTACTGCTTAGTATATTGATAATTACTTGCATTAAATGCATCCTCCTTGAAAATTGTTACTACTTTTGTCCAAAGTCCAGAATAGTACTGCTGCTGGATCTAGCTATAGATCAATATTATGTAAAAATCATTCAAGGATAAGGTTGGCAAATCATCCATCTACATGTGTCGTTTTATCCTACTAATGAAATATGTGTGAGTATCTGCTTAGATTTAGTAGTTGGGGTAGCCTGTTGTCCTTTAAGTACTTACTTAGCAGAAGTATCTAAGCAAATACAGAGCTATCTTGACTATTGTCAACTGTGTTACAGATTTCTTTAGAGAGAAACATCGTTATAAGATTTTCTTTGTCTAAATTCTTAAACTCACTCTCATAAACACATTTTATAATCACCTGGGAATCATATGATATATTAATTATATAACATACAGCCTAATGATATTATAATTTTATAAAAAGCTGTCTGAGTTCACCACTACAGATCCTTTACAGACACAGGCCAAATGTATAAAATTTCATTCAACTGCTTAGGTTCTTTAAAGATGACAGTTATACTCTGCTGTTCCATCAAATATAATAATTCGGTTTTGATCCTGGTTTTCAAACTTTCAAAATACACATTTCAATTTTGATGCTTTACCAGGTAGGTTTATATTGTTTTCTTCTAGCTCACAGTCTGTTTTTGTATCCTAAAGACATGAAGTTGCACTATGGTGACCTTACTGACAGTACCTGCCTTGTGAAGATAATCAATGAAGTAAAGCCCACTGAGATCTACAACTTGGGTGCCCAGAGCCATGTCAAAGTAAGCCCCTCCCAAAATTGCAATGTGTTGGCTCTGTGCCTGGCATTTTCATATTTTTCTTTTCTCTCTTGCTTTTCAATGCAGTAATTCAGTTTCAGTCCTCAAGTTTACTTATCATTATTAGTTTTGATATTAGTGCACTCAGAAAGAAATTCTAATTTTTTTTTAGAAAGCATATTCTCTGTTTTTGAACAATGTAGTCACATCTTACTGCTAATATTAAAATAGCAGATTTCATTTAGTTCAGATTGATCCTGCAGTCCTGTGTGTTTTTTGCCATTTCATATCACATTATTAATGAAGTGTTTTATAAAAATGTTAGAAGATGTAATTCAATAAAACCTCTACTTAATATTAACTTTTAGTAGTGGTTATATTACTGACTGACAGAATAACATTTTTATATTTATTTTTGAGTCATAATAATCTGCTGAAATTAGCTGAATTTATTTTTTACTGTGAGCAACAAAAATCACTGGAAGAGAAACTCTTTTTAGCTTCTTTTTTCCTCAGTAAGATGTGGCTAATGTTGATTTTCTTTCCCTTTATTTATATTCTCTAATGGCCCATCTACTTCTCTTTAGTTTTTCTTTCTGAATTGTGTCACAGTAAACCTGAGAAACCTATCTGCAAGGTTCTAGGCCTCGACTTAATTCAGATATTTATTGTTCTGTCCCCAGCTCACTTGAGTGAGTGAATTTGAAGAGATGAGGTAGATTCTGTTTCTATACTTGGCCAATCAGGATTGTTAGTGGTCCTTAGAAATAAAATCAAATAACTATTAAGTTAAGAAACTGGCCAATTCAAATGAATTCAAAAGTTAACCACTGCTCAAACAAATGGTCTCTGATCAGGGCATGTAAGAGTTCTAAATGCAAACATGACTAAGGTGTGTAGACCTTAGACATGTAGCAGGAGATCTGCTAGGGAAATCTGCAGGCTTAGATTGAGCAGAACCCGTGAACATGCAAAAAGACAGAGATAAACAGAGACAAAACAAAATATGAATAAAATGAAACTGAGCTGCAGTGTAGTGAGAGTTTAAGATCCAAGAGGACTCACCAAACAGCTTCCAAGGCTCCTCATGGAGCTGGAGAGCCTAAAAGTGCTCAATGGGATCCTTTGCCAGTGTCTGATGGGACTTTGATGCTGTTGGCTGGTCACTTCAGTTCTGCTTCTGACACCAAGTAATTGTTGAAAACAAAACAGAATCTCTGTAAAATCAAAGAAGAGTTTTATTCAGATTTAAAGATTTTCAAATTGGGAAGTGCCAGGTGAAATGACATTCTGAAGAGGGACCATAAACATAAGTCTTCTATATGTAGTTTTGAAGAACTTTGTACAGAGTTGGGAAGAGTATAGGGGTACATTTGATTGATTGACATTCAACATGTTCTTGTAAGACAAATTTATCAAGAATTTCTGTTGGCTGGGGTATATAACCTTAGCTTCAGTTTCAATTCATTCAACATTCAACACATTCAACATGTTCTTATAAGACAGATTCATCAAGAATTCTATTGGCTGGAATATTCAACCTTAGCTTCAGTTTCCTGCATTCCAGACCTGATTTCTTCTGTTTCCTTCAGTGTTCTGGGTGGACCATCATAGAATGTTGTAGAACAAGTTATCGTATTTATCAGAGGTAGATAAACTCCTTGGAGAGAACAATCATGGGAGAAAGAAAGGCTGCTTATGCACAGGGAGACAGCTCAGGGGGCAGGAGTACATGAAGGGTGGACACAGGGAAGAGGTAACTATCGGGAGGGAAGTGGGAGGGGAGCTGTTGCATTGTGGTAAATTGTGGTCAATGTCATGAGACAAAGTGTATGTGAACTACTGTATGGAAAGTGAATTTGCTTTATAAATTTTCACCCAAACCACAATAAAAAACATTGAAAAAATAAATAAATAAAAAAGAACAAGTTATCTTGGTCAAAGTGTGGTCGTGGGTCACATACTCTAAAAATAAGAAGTAGGGGCCTGGGACAAAATGGAGTCTGATTCAGACCTGCATCAGCCATTTCAGTTATGTGAAGCACCTCAGTTTTAGAATACTCTTCATAGAGGCTTAAGAGAGATCTGGGGGGTAGAGATGTCAATTCAGCCCTATTTGTATCTGAGATACCAAAAGTGGCAGATGGAGAAAGACACACCTGTATTTAAATGGTGAGAGTTGCACAAGTAACTTGATGATATTAGTTGTTGTTGTTTGCCATGGAGTCGGCCCCGACTCATAGCGACCCCTCCTTGGGTTTCCGAGGCAGTATCACTACGGAAGTAGGAATGCCCAACCTTCCTTCCGAGGAGTGGCTGGTGGGTTTGAACCGCCAGCCTTCTGGTTAGCAGTCAAGTGCCTTAGCCACTATGCTATGCTACCAGAGCTCTTGATGATATTAGTATGGTTAGAAATAAAGCCAAATAACTATTAAGTTAAAAACTGCCCAATTCAAATGAATTTAAAAGTTAACCAGCACTCAAACAAATGGAGAGGCAAGAGGATGGAATTGTGTAATGGGTTTCAGTACATTACGCTGTTTCAAGCAGGAGGCATGTCAGCAGTGGTGGATGCTTCAGATAAGTCAGGCGGGATGAGGAACATTAAAAGGCTTTGGTAGTTCTGTTAGAGGTCATTTGTGACTTTCAGAAAGAGCATTTTAGTGATATGATGTAAAGAGTTAGCCAGAGTGCCATGGGCTTTAGAGGTTTAGTGGTTAGTGGAAAGTATGAATTGAGTGAATTATTTTCTAGAAATTTCCTGGTGGAAGGAAAAGAGAGAACATAATCGATGAAGTTTATGTCAAAACCACCTGCAGATTGCTGCCTTCCAACCCACCCCCTGAATCTGACTCATGAGGTCTAGGGTGGGGCCTGAGGACTTGCATTTCTAGGATACATTCAAGTGAGCTGTTGCTCGTTTTAAGACCATACTCTAGCAGCCACTGCTCTTGTGTTTCTGGTTCCCTGGCTTATCCATATGTAATATGCTAACTTTACTGTATTCAGCTTTTGAGTTTGATTAAAAAAAAACTTGCCAGTTAATGACTGTATGAGTTTTTAAAGCCTGAAATGACACCCACACTCAGGAATGATGAGAATGGAAAGAATCTAAAGAGAATCGCTGTATGTACCAGAGCTCTTCCTATTCCGAGCAGTGTGGGAGAATAAATGATTCTCAGGTACTGCTGCTGCTTTAGAGAAATAGTGTGTTTTCGAGGCACTGTGAGAACATTTTTTAATGCTCAAGTTCCTTACCATTCTTTATGACCTAATCACAGTTTGATTTTTGGTAATGGAAAGGGTGAGGTGGGAGGGGCTGAGATGACTGCTGTCCTCCCAGCTTGCTTAGGTACACCACTCTGCCCCTGACTAATCCAGGGTTTGGGGCATTGAGTTTCAGTTGGCTGCTTCTTTCCTAGCAGGTTGTCAGGGAATTAGGGTGGAAAAGATATATTTTGTTCCTTACAGTTACTTTCTCTGTATTAATCAGTTTTGTTTTCATAGACAACAGACTTTTTTGTTGTTTGTTAATGGAATAAAAGTACTTTGATAATGTAATACCTGCAATAAGGCTAATTCAAATCAATTTCTCTTTATAATCTGGTATGGTGCTCTTTTGAAAGAAAGTTCTAATATTAGCATGTTATGTATTTAATTTTGCAACGTGACTTCCAGATTGTTATTGGGCATTGTTTGTGTTGGCTTCTCTTTGTGTGGAGTAAAGTCTTCTATCACTCTCACTTCCGGTTAATTTGATGTGGACTATGGTATGCTGAAAGTAAGGAAAATAAAATAATAGGAAGTTGGTTTGGTTTCCTGTAGGAAACCAATGAAGATGAAATTGGTCCTTGGAATAAACCCACAGCAGTCTGGGAAATACTGTCTGAAGACACTTTTCTGAATCATGAGCAGAAAAAATATGACTCATGAAGTAGGTCATTGAAAGGCTGATTGTATCTTGTGTGGGAGAAAGTGAGAGATGACTGAAATGTACTAGTTATTAAGAGCAGTTAAATCTAGCATGGTGACATCATCCAAGTAGAAACAAATTATCCAATATGTAGTCCTGCCCATTTTGATGGAGAAAATGTTAAGGAGCCTGCATTCTCCACCCCCACCCCATAGGGTTTTATAAATAATATTTTTTCAATAATTTGTCTTAAATTATCTGTTCATCATTCATTACTGTCATGGTTTTAGATTTTTCCACCATTCCTTGTAGCATTGATAATCTTACATTATTCATGGAGTCATAGTGTTGGAAAGATACATTGAATCTAGTCCAGTATTACTTTCTTTTGTCTCACAATGTCATGTTAGATTTGCCTTGCTTTTTTTTGCAGAGAAATGAAAGTTATACAATCATGAAATATTAAAGCTAGAAGGAACTTTAGAAATAATTTAATATGAGTTCTCATTTTTACAAATGAAATCACCTGTTCAAAATCTGGGCACTCCAGGACAAGAGCTCTATATTCTATGATAGAATTTAAAGGCCATCATGACAAAGATTGTCTGGAGTAGTGTAATATAAAATAATACTAAATACTACCCCTCTCAACATATCTGTTTCTTTGTAACCTTGTTTTTTTCCTCTGTGTCTTTATGAGACAGAGAGTCACATACTCTTCATTTAGTTTTGAGAAAGTTTTTCAAATCTTTCTGGGTTTGGAATACCATTTTTAAGTTGTTCTTTTAACTTTTTCTTATTCAAATGGAATTAACTCCATACTTTCCACTTATTTTCTAACCATTTAATTATGCTTATTACTTTCAAATGCTCTTGTTTAATTTTGTTTTATGGTGTCTAAAGCTGTGCAATATTTGGCTAAGTGGCTGGGAAGTAAACTGAGGAATGAACTATGTGTGGGCTTGGATTTCCTCTTTCATTTGTGGTGGGGGACCAGTTAGCAGAACCTGCACATGGAAGACAAACGGTCCAAGTCCAAACAAACGATTCTTATAATGAGACTTCAAGCTCAAGAAGCTAGTCAAGATGC